ACAATATATACATAACTTAATACATTAATATATCATTTTTTTCAATCCAGCATTAGTATTTTAAATAAATGTATTACTGTATTAATGATTGTAATATAAGGGTAGTATACAAATTATTTTGGTGAATTAACTATGGTTTAGTTAATTATAGGTATATCTCATTTGGTGGTAAAGGATATTGGTGGCAAAGGGAAAGATACACCTTTGGTGGAAACGGGTATTGATGGAAAAGGGAAAGGTCTACTTTTGGTGGAAACGTGTTACGCCCGTCATGATCAATTGCTCGCCTTACTGCAGATGATGGACAAATGGAAAATTATAAACGGCCCGTCTGAAGGATACGAAGTGTTACGTCGCCGAATTTATTCAAACACAAAAGAATTTTGGTACTACGTAAGTTTTTCGTTACAATCGTTGGCTAACGAAATCAAAGATTTAGAACCGACAATTTCTCATATGAAAATAATGGTCGACGAACACTATAGATCATTATTGAGAGACRTCGCAAAGCTGGCCGATGTCGATGGTTATTCACAGTGGAGGTGGAAAGAATTTGACTCTTTGAGTAAACTAGTCGAAAAGAGAATTCAACATACGCAGAATCCACCCGACTGTGCCAAAGCTAAAAAGCTTCAGTGTAATTTCGTCGAGTTTGTACGAATAATATTTAATTATATAATATTAATTTAATGATCATCCTAACCCCTTTATATTTAACCTTTCTTGAAGCATCACCTCTTCTATCCGATTATAACACAGAGYGCTATTTGATCGTTGGGTAATTTAAAAATAAACTGTAATTAATATTATTTAAGTGTCGAAAAAAAATATCATAGTCCCGAATCTAAACTACTAGCCTACTGACATACGTACATTTGACTTCCAGTATTATCAACAAATTTACTTATTACACGTTACACTTAAAGGTTTGCCCCCAAAGGAATTGTTGTGGATATGGATGTCGTGTACACCATTTTGTCAAGTGCTTGATTGTCGCCTACGCCACTGAGAGGACAATGATTATAGGCACTCCTAA